ACTTATTTGTTTTTTGTTGGTTCCTCCTGGAGTTGTCTTCGCTGAAGAGTGATCAATTCCTCGTTGTTGACAGTAGCCTTTGATGGTTGCCTCCCTTTGGAATCCTACCTTTGACTGCGCCAGTGTTACATGCGGCCCTTCAGGGATCCAAAAGCTGGTGTACTTGATAAATAATAATAGTCAATTAGAATGGTAATCAAATGTATTATATTAAACCAGGCAAAACAAGCAGAATAATAGTGTTGATTGTAGTGAATTGTAGTTCGTTCCGAAGTTGATAATCTCCGTGTAAGTCGTGTGTGATGGCTGGGCGGCTAAGCGAGTCGTGTGGTGTTCTCGTCTCTGGATACATCTAACTCAGGCTGTCTCGCTGTCCCCTATATATATGGTGGCGGCGTCCTTTGAAAGTGAGCGGCGCGTGTACAGTCGTCCTTGATATGGACCTCACGATTATGAAAGTGGTATTCGTAGTCGAAAACACTTTTGGGTGTGGTCGCATTCCTGGTTGTTATTATGAGCAAATATATGGTATTGCGTAATCCCATTACACTATATTATATCATAATAAACTTACTTTTTTGAAGACATACTTTATTTTTGAATATCCTCACAAAACAAAACAAAACTAAAACAACAACACAAATGGCTCTAAGCCTTTAATAATTAAAATCAAATACTGTATAAAATATAAATATTATATTAATTATAAATATAAAATATCATAATCATATAGTACCTACTGTCCTACTATATAGAAAGGCAATACGGCATTATCAGCACTCGGCATTTCAATTTTCAAGATAATTATGCTTACAATTTATTATCTATTATAATAATTACGGTTAATTATATTGGCCACATTGTAAAATATACAATAATACCGTATTCTAATTAAGTCATTTAATATTTTAGTCACTTGTACACTTTTAGTCTTTGAATATTAAGTCGTCTAAGTTATCAGCTTACGGAATCGGAAAAATAAAAAGACGCCAAATGTTGGGTGACTTAAAAATGCCATGACTGAATAAATTTTAGTTTTAGTCATGGTATAGAGAATCGCCCTGCTGGTATGTAATATATTAAATATTATCATCAATTAATAATAATAATATTTAAATAAATAATAATTTATTGAGTATATAAATATATTTATATGCTAGGTATTATAGATAGGTAGGTACTTACATTTAAATGTTTTCGTAAGTTCGAGTTTGATCGTGTATCAACTTTGAGAACTTTGGTTCCCACACAGATCAAACATTTAATTTCTAGTTTTTTATAAAAAAACATATCCTCTATTACTCGTTGCACTTTAAAATACTTCGAATAATTTGGCCACGGTAAAGAAAAATTTTGCAGATTTTGCAGATTTTGCGGTTCCTCATCACTATTACTCATATTAATTATTAGAAGTAAGAAGTTAGAAACTTAGAACTAAAAGTAATTAGTATTTATAATTACTAAATTACCTAATACCTACACAAATATTATCACACTTTCAACAATCAACAGACAGACTGACACTACTAGTTACTACACAAGTCTTTAAATTAATAAATAAAACGTTGCAGCTGTAGGCGTGCAGGCTGCACTAATATAGATTATAGTGGAATAATCTATATTATTCGGTATTCCCGTAATCCAGCATAACCAATAACCATTAAGGCAGGCATTGTATCTGATATTATCAACATAATTTAAAGGGAATATTGTTATTCAATAACTATTTTTAGAAATCTGGTTTTTACAAACCTTCGGGCTTCGGCTAACACAGAAATACAAAATACCAAATAAAACTATTATTCTATTATTGTAGTTGACAATAATATTTTTCCAACCAATTATTTTGAATAAAAATAAAATGTTCGAAATAAAAAACCAAAGTATTCAATACCAAAAAGTATTTAATACAAAAAAAAGTATTTAAAATACCATTCAAAATACTTCATGCTGAAAGTATTTAAAAAGTTATTCAATACTTAAAAAAGTATTTGAATACTTTTACTCAAATACTTTACAGGACTGTTTACTGTTAACATTATATATTCACATAAGTCAATGTGCAATATTTTTATTTTATTGATTTGCTTTTGTATACATAAGTGCCACCACTATAAGTCACAATATAACTTAATAGTTATGAATTTGTTTTTATTATACAGGAAATATTATTTGTATCGTTTTTTAATTGTTAAGATTATTAAATAAGTGATTATATACCTGTATTTATATTTTTTACTATGATATTAAATAAAAATTCGGTTTATGAAACATTTTTCTCTAATTTGTATTCCATTTTAAATAATATAAATTGCAATGAATATCTTATGGATATTCATTACATATTGCAATTATTGGATGAATGGTGCTGAACTATATCTAATATATATTAGATTATATCTAATGGATAATATTAAATATATTATATCTATTGGAAATTATAATTCAATAATTTCTGATTTCTAATGGATATCCATAAACTAATAAAAAAGCGACCAATTGGATATCTGGTAGATATTTAATAAATATACAGTCATATCTAAAAGATGTTATGGATATCTATAAATCATATCTATTATACATCCATTAGTTGTACCTATGGTATGTGGGTATATTAACACCAGTATATGGTACTATTCTATTGTCTATTACATCTTTATATAATTGGAAGAAATATGAATAATGTACATTTTTGCTGTAGCAATCTTTAGATATATTTAAGTATGCAACTTGATGAGGGTACTTTTGAAGATATTGCTAAAATTACTGTTCAACCAATCAAACCTGTTCTTGGTGAAAAGAAAATCAGTTCACCAGAAAATACTATTACACCTGTATGTATAAACAGGGGTTGGCAGTATATTAGGTACTTAGGTATTATTTTATTAACTATTATTACATCTCTGTTTAAGCACAATTCTAAAAGATCATATTTTGATATGAGCAAATCTACTGATGATACACCAAGAAAACTGTGTCTAAAAAAGCTTTATTTAATTTATCAATCACCAATGAATTAAAATCAAAAAAAAATAAAGTTCTTTATCGAAAAATTAGCTGACAAAAAAAGAAAATTAGTTCATTAAAACAAGTTGTTACTGTTTTGAAAAAGAACAATTTACTTTATGAAGACTCAGCAGAAATACTCATGGACAGTTTTGGTAATTTTTGTCCAACTCTTAAACAAATGACAAGGTACATGTAATTTTCATTGAATGTTGAGATTAGCATTTTCTATACACGATACAATTTTAAAAATATTTTGGGCTTTTACGGACATTTTCAGTTTCCAATTTATTTAGTTTTTATTTCTTTAAAATTTTATTTGTTGGCTAAAAAAGCTTCAAAATGTAATAGAAGGCTCCTGATATATTATTACAATAGCAATTAAAAAATACTAAAATTACATAGCCTCATTTTTTTTTATAAGCATTTAGAGTTGTACATAATTTTATATATTATAGAATTAAGGTAAAAGAAAATTGTCTATAAAATACAAATTTTTAAAATAATATAGAATATTAATTTGATTTCTACTACATAATTTATAAAATATTATTTTATACTGGAATTAATACGCTATGTATTAATAAGATAATTCTTATAAATAATTTATATTTAATTATTGTTATTATTTTTTTATGCATTTTTGATTGTATTATTAGGGAATAAGATAGTTTTTATAAAATAACAATTTTTGAAATAATATATAATATTTATTTTATTTTTAATATATAAGTTATTAAACAATATAATTCTTATAAATGATTTATATTTAGTCAATCCCCGGTATAATGCTATACTGGGAATCTTTTTTCCTAGTGCAGGGATTCTTTTTCCGCAATAATAATAAAATACAATGATAATACATAGGCACAATTTTTTTTTATTTATTTATTTAATTTTTTTTTTATTGACAATTATAAAAAAAAAAACTAAAAAAATTGAAAACTGAAAATGTCCGTAAACAGCTCAAAAAGAGTCAAAATATTTTCAAAATTGTATGGTGTATAGGAAATGCTAATTTAAACATTCAGTGAAATTTTCATATATCTATAGTTATTCGTTTATGAATTACAACAAAATAAGGAAATCGCTACATGAGAAATCGAGTGAACATCCAATGTTGTAAAAATTTGAATTTCAAACGCTCATAAAAATTTATTTTGACTTTCTTATAGACATTTTTTTTTTGATAAAGGTAGATAATTTTATAATTAATCTTGTATTACATTTTCAAATCTTAGATTTAAAAAGAAAAATTTTTACGAATTCTTAACTCAAATAAATTTGCTAATTTTCGTGATTTTTCCATATTTTGTCAATTTTTGAACTTTAAATGCTTATAAAAAAAAACTGTGACTAACGATTTTTAATATTTTTCATCTCCCTTTGAAACAATATACTAGGAGTCTTCTATTAAATTTTCAAGTTTTTTTAACCAACAAATAAAATTTTATTGATATTTCTAGAAAAATAACTAAAAAAAAAATGAAAAATGAAAATGTCCCTAAACAGTTCAAAATATAAATAATATTATTAAATATCAAAATATTTTGAAAATGTTATCGTGTATAGAAAATGCTAATATAAACAACCAGTGAAAATCTCATGTATCTACGGTCATTTGTTTTAGAGTTACACCAATAACCAAAATCGATATTTTGGAAAACCAATTTTGCGTAAAAATTCCCGTTTTTTCTTTAATTTTTCATTTGTTTTTCACTGCGCTTTTGAAAATTACTGGGAAATTTTTCCTTTTGACCCCCCCAAAGTACCAACTAGATTAATTTTCCTATCAGAAAAGTTACTATTGAAGAAAATCGAAGCATTTTTACTGTCCTAAAAGGTGATGACAGACACAAAAAAAAAAACACATCATTGTAAAATCAATACATTCATCGCTCCGCTCAGAATCTAAAATTGTAAAAATGTATACATTTTCTTTTGTAATACATAGTTTTATAATATTTCAGATTGTGTCTTCTCGGCAAAGGACAATGATCATCAACGGGTACAAAAGTAAATTAGAGGCAAATCCCGAAATTTCGTTAAGACAGGTACGGACACTTCTTTCTAAAGAATTAGGCATTGGTATTACGACGATCTCCAACACGATTACAGAATATCGCAATTCCAAAACAGTTTCATCACCTAATCGGAAAAAAATTTTTAAAAACGTGACTGATAAGGTTGACGATTTTGACAAAGAAGCGATACGAAGAAAAGTGCATCAGTTTTGGGTGAATCGTGAGTTGCCAAATTTAAAAATAATTTTAAATGTTGTGACAAACGATGACACTTTACCGGAATTTTCAAATACTACACTTTGGCGTCTTTTAAAATCAATGGGTTTCCGTTTTACAAAAAGAGGACGCAACAGTGCATTGATTGAAAATAACGAAATTCGTGCATGGCGTAGACGGTATATCAGGGATATAAGGCAATATACAGAGAGGAAGGTCGTCCGATATACTACATCGACGAAACGTGGGTAAACGCCGGAGATGTACCAATAAGAGTGTGGAATGATACGACGGTCACATCGAGCCGAGCTGCATTTTCACAGGGTCTAACTACAGGAGCAGTTAACCCCACCGGAAAGGGAAAGCGGCTGATAGTGTGTCACATCGGCTCCGAAGATGGATTTGTTCCAGATTCATTATTATGCTTTGAGTCGAAGAAAAATACCAACGACTATCACGATGAAATGAATGGCGATACTTTCCGTGATTGGTTTGAAGGTGTTTTACCGAGGCTTAAGGATAATGCGGTGATAGTTATGGACAACGCGCCGTACCACTCAGTGAAGTTGGAGAAAATCCCGACAACAGCCTGGAAAAAGGCTGATATTATTGGATGGCTGCAGAGCAAGGGAGAAGTTTTTCCAAATAATATGATAATACCGGAGCTTTTGGATATTGTCAAAAGAATAAAACCTATTTATTCAAAATACGCCATTGACGAGTTGGCTTTACAGCACAACAAAACTGTGTTAAGGTTACCGCCTTACCATTGCGAACTCAACCCCATTGAGATAGCTTGGTCTATTGTAAAACGTCACGTGAAAACAAACAACAAGTCATTCAAATTGTTTGACGTAAAAAATCTTTTGGTTGAAGGCATAGACAAGGTTGACGCTGAAATGTGAAAGAACTTCATAAGTCACACAATAGATGAAGAAAATAAGTTTTGGAGCATCGATGACACAGTGGACGAATTGACGGCAGAGCACACAACATTAGTTGCAACATATGGAAACAGCGACAGCGAAGATGACGATTTCAATTATTTATCAGATTGAAAGATAAAATTATGTAAATATTTTTAAATTTATTACTTGAAAAATTTATTTTATGTAAATTACTTTTGTAAATATTATTGTAAAACCTATTAATTAAATATTGTGTGTATTATTATACAATCATTATTTTAATGCTTCAAATTAATAATAAATTATTCCAAATAGGTACATATTAAAATACTTGAAAGTGTTCGAATACTGTTACAATATATTTATTTTTTAAAATTTATAATTTCCCGGTATTTTTTTTGATTTTTTCGCCACAGATATAAAATATTCTTCGAGTTTAAAATTAATAATTCTTAATGAATAAAAAAAAACAAAAAACTCATAATTCGTATTCGAATAATATTTTCGAAAAGTATTTAAAATAGTATTCAAATAAAAAAAAATTATTTGAATACTAATATAAATAAGATATTGAATAAATATTCAAATCATTTTTTTTATACTACTTACTAATGTTAAACTCGGAAAAAAAATTAATATTCGTGACAAACGAATCAAAAAAACCGGGCACATTATAAATTAAAAATAATAAATCCTAATAAAACTCTACAACTAAAAATTAAAAAACCAAAAAGTATAATGACGAAAACAAAAAAAAACTACACTATTATGCCAGGAAAAAAATGTTTATTTTATGTTAAAGAAAAAGAATAATTAGATTTATTAAATATAGCATTACTATATTCCTCGTTACTATTATAAATTACAAGAATGTATATAAAAAAACAAAAAACGTTTTTCATCCATGATTTCAATTGAATACATTACTGGTAACTGTACCCGCCGGCCATCGCGCCGCGTGCCGGTCATATAATATAAAATGTAAACAAGTTATTTGAGACGGTGTATAGTCGTCGGCACACTTCGATCGGCGACCGTCGTACACTATCGAGCGCGAGAGTGGGGGAAATTGGGCTCTGGACGGTTGGCAGCCGTCAGTCGCGATGCGCGAAAGCGGTATGTTCTCTTTTGAAACAGAGTATAGTGTATGATGAAAAAGCTGGGCATAGTTTTACAGTTACTAACATGTTAACCGAGAAAGACATACAAATGTATCAATTTGTAACTGGCTAATGAAGTGGGCTGCATGTGATGTTCCAAAGCCTAAACAAACAGTTTGTGACAATTCTTTAGCTTTGTTATCTGCTATAACTCAATGTTTTACACAATTTTCCAATTTGCAAGATTATGTTAGAATGTGTGCAGATCTTCTAACAAATCAAACTGACCTGGACCCCCATTGGGTACCCAAATGTTTTTTAAGGATAGACGTGGCTCATTTTATAAAAATAGCATGTAAATGGGTTCCATTAAAAAGTGTGCCAAGAAGAGTCAGGGAAATCATACTAAGGGCTGTTGGACTGATGATAAAAAGCAAATCATTAACTGATATCCGTGCTATGTTGCTTACATTGTTTGTTGTCATAACAAATGAGACTGATGGTGTTAACATCTACACAAAATTAGAAACACCATGTGAGCAACATAAACTCCAGGCCACCTCAACAGGCTTTCTAGGTAATACATTTTAGTAACTATTCAATATCTACCTACTGATTTGTGTAAAATTATTCATCTATGCTACATAATTATAAATTATTATTATTTGTTTATAAATTTTGCTAAAATTAATTTAAAATAACTAAACATTAAATAATTCATGAGATTCTTAATGTTGATATGATTCAAAATATGTTTATGTGTTTAAATATATTGCACATATTATTATATTAATTATTTTTTTACATATCAATAAATATAAGCATATAAATTTACCCATTTAACTGACTGATTATTTTTAAATACAATTTAATTATTCATATGGAATGTATGCACATTCAATAAATTAATAATTTCTAACATATTGTTTATAAATTTAAACAAACTAATTTGAATAAAGTTTTTAAAGAACCTATTATGTATAAAAAAAATATTAATATAATTTTAATATAAAAGTATAGACATATAAGTGTACTTCCCGTTAAAGATTTTAAAAATAAAAATTATAATTTCTAATTTATGTTAATTTTGTAGATTTTCAAGACACCTTTAATAATATATTGGCATCTAAAGAAGTTGAAGACCATGCTCGAACCATGTTAGAGGAAGAGTATGAAAGACAGAATGAAGGGTTAAATCATTTTGAAAACCCATTTCAAGCTTGGGCAAGCTCAGTTTACAATGAAAGTAAAAATTTGTTCGAAGAAGGTACTGGCATAAACCCATTTATTGCCCTTCGTTGGTACCTATAATAATAAAGAGTTTAAAACTTCTCACATTGTGGTCAGGAGTTATGATTCCTATTTTTGGATTTGGGGAGGAAATAGCTTCATCGTCAGCTGTAGAGTCTAGTTTTAAGAAATTAAAAACCTTGACATTTAAAAATATTACATTACCAACAAGTGTTGAAATCTTTTTGGAAAATCATATAGATTCATTAAAAGGAACATCACTCATTCGAAGAAGTACTTATTTAAATGCAAATTCTAGTCCACCTGAACAGTCAGACCTGACAAATACACAGTCAGATTCTGAAAATATATCTTTGACTCTTTCAAATTCACCAGAACACCAAAATCAAAATATTTATGATCATAATATATCTTTAACTCTTTCAAATTCACCAAAACACCAAAATCAAAATATTTATGATCATAATATATCTTTAACCCTGTCAAATTCGCCAGAACAACAAAATCAAAATATTTATGATCATAATATATCTTTAACTCTGTCAAATTCGCCAGAACAACAAAGCAATTTAGATGAGGAGTCATTGGCATGTGAAAGCTGGAGTCGAAAAACAAAAAAGCAAAGGAATGCAAATTCTTATCTTGTACCGAACCCCCATTTAAGACATCTTAATTTAAATAGTTCAAGAAATATCAAATATCTACCACTATTAAAAAATGGATCAAGAGCAGAAGAATTAAAAACTATCACAGTAAAAGGTATTGGTAAAATAGTACTAACAAATACCTGTGCTTTTAATACAATTGCATCAATATTTACCGTAGCTTACTGTGATGGTATACTTTATTCAAACAAAATTGACAAAATTTTGGATTCCTCTGATTTTTTTTTGTTTTATTTCCAAAAACTCGAAGACTCGAATCTCTATCGCGTTGCCGTCATCAGTTGCTTTTGGTGAGAACACGGCCTAAAAGTCGTGTATACAAGGATACGCGGGTATTACCAAATACCAATACACTAAAATAAAAATAAAATTTCCAGTATAACAACTATAACGAGCGACTAACCGATAACAACGATAAGAAGTGCGTGACACAAGTACCTACTAACTATTTGTTACATAATAATAATATAATATTGTAATATCTTAAAAATATTATCTAGGCTATTTTTATGGAACGCACCGTCGCACCGAGAAGTCGCACAGTCGAGAACACGGTTATCCACATGTAGATAACCGTGGTCGCGAAACATTCATATTTCATAATGATAATATTAAGTCATAATACTCGTCAACAGTCGCCAATCAGTAACATACCTAATCACATAATACGTAAATACGGGCATCAAGTACTATCATCCCCGTAAATACGTAAACATAGAAATACTGAGTTAAGTATTATAGACGTATGGTTTACTACCTATACTTTTACATTTTATGTAATGTAGCTTGAGCGCTGGCTAGTGGCTGACGGCTGTCCGTAGTCCATACTATTGTGGTTATATTATCGTTCCGTAATCGTCAAAAAACCCCGCGTACAATGACATAAGATACACCCTGTATAATTATATAACCAGCTATCTTATATAAGGTTAGGTTAATATATAGTTGTTGATAGATAGTATATATATTATTTTATATTTTGTCAAGTTTTGAATGGTCCATTTAACTAAAAAATAACGGCTTACTAACTCTATCCCACCAAAATATAACTATAAATATAATTTCCATTCTACGAAGTTTTGTATAATTTTATTACCATATTTAAAATTCCTCAATTTGTTTATGGTGAATGTTGACCAAAACAAGCCATGGGTTATGGGTGGCTAAATTATAGCTAAATTATATATGTGGTTAATATTAATTAGTATATATTTTTAAATTAAATATAATATGACTTAATTACTTACAATAATTGCGACACTATAATTGGTAAGTTACAAAGTTATATATTATTATATATGATAGTTGATATTTACATATTGTTGAATATTTCAAATGTATTTCCATATATCATATATATGAGTCAAGGCATTAATATATAATTATAAAAATGTCAAGAATCTATTAAACACATTTTCTATACTTATTTATGCCACTATATTTTTGTTGTTAGTATCATAGTATTTTGCAGATAATATTTATATGAATTATAGTCTTTAAGTTCGTTTAAGTTAAAAATATAACTGTATTTATTACATATTATCTTAGCTTACTAACTAAAGTTGTTAACTTAACACCTGATGCTAAACTGGCACTACAGTACCTATAGCGGCTAGCACTCGACACTAGGTATAAGTAATACTAGTTGAGGATTACTGAAAATAATAAAACCTGACCTATATAATATGTATAATGTATGTATCATGTGAGTTCAAGAAATTTTATAGTTTTTACATTAATATATAATATATGGATAATAATTATAATTATTCAAAAAATTAAAATAGAATAAATTTAAAAAAAAATTACAGTTTATAATTTATATATATAACGTTAAACGGTTAAACAGAAAACAAAAATTTAAATGGGTATATAATGCTTACAAATTTAATAATGTTAAATTATATAAAAATCAAATAGAGTTTGGACGTACTGCAATAACACTAAACATTACAATTTATTATATCACATTTAAACACCTAAAAATGTAAAAATAATAGTTTTTTACTTATTAATTAGGTAAACTATTCGTATACCTATATCGAATATTATTTATATATATAATAATATATAGTTGTGTTTCAGTGTTCATAATTAACGTATAAATTGTATGGTATCACTTAAATAATGATTC